AAACGTCGTGAGAGCGTGCGAGAGGGTGCGATCACTTTTTGTGACGTACTACTACTAGTACTATTAGTACGACACGAGTATGGTTGTACGAGTACTAGTATATATATATATATACTACACAAATCCAAGCACCACTATATATTAACACATACAGATCAGTATATAACTATATATATACTATACTTCCTCTTTACTAATTCTCAGAATGAGAATTAGAATTCAGAACAGAACTAATCGATTGGGAGTTCTGTTCCAAAGTCACTCAGTACAAGCAGTACCAAGTCCTACACCATCCGAGAACTGAGGAAAGAAGCACACACTTGACTTGTACTGCTTGGATGTATATTTCTACTATTGATTCTAACTCAATGAATCCAGTATAACAGTCCCACGAGAAAGCATGTGAGGAGCTGGATTCATCGAGTGATACTTTATTCATTAGTTTTAGTCTCACAATCCTAATTTAGATACAATCTAAATACTACTACTAATACTAAAACAATCCTTCAGTACACGTTATTTCGTGCACAGTAATTACTAAATCGTGTTATCCTGTGAATATAACACTGAAGATGAAGCCAAGCCATTTCTCCTGTCTCTCGTTGAAGAACCCCTTCCAAGTGGAGCATGCAAAGATGACCTTTTGAAATCTTGGTTACATTCTGAGAGAGGCTGGTGAGGGCAAGATCCATAATTGTGTGATCTCCATGCCGGAGAGGTGGCGCCAGCCCTGTGGTGTCAACAGTGATGGTGCCCTATATGGTGGTCAGATATTTCCAAACATGATGCAAAAATTTTCCAGGGACKGATGGGATTGCAATGGAGGGAAATTCAAGGACAGGTTTGGAGAGGCCTGAGAATAATTGAAACCACCATAGTACAGTCCTAAGAAGTTTCCCAGCAATATCATTGGATCTCCAATATTTCAAGAAATGGGTGACATAGCTCCTGCCAGTGATGACCTCCAGGGGTATGTTCCCCACTCCTCCTACACACACTGGTGCATAGAGGAGTGCCCTGGCAGTCGTGCCGGCATAACCACAGACGAGTGAGAGGATAAGCGGAAAGTATTTCCGTTCCAACTTGATCAGTTGGGCAGAAGACAAAAAGGACTGGGGCAGGGGATACTCAATGGCGGGACGCAGCACTGTTTGTTGGTTGGGTGAGCACCGGTAAATGGCAGAGCAAATTGAATCTGCTTTGGATAGTAATGCATTCAACTGAGCTGTGTATGATCCACATGGGGACTTGTGGTGGCCAAGATTTTTACGTGGAGTGAAGATGTTCTTTGAAGCAATTCAGACTGGTTCTCCAATAGGATCAGTCAGGAAKATATCACCAGTAGTGTGAAGCACACGAGGGAGCATATCCAGTGGAGATTCAGTGAGGTATTGGAAGTCATAATATAAGAGGTGAAAGCCACATTTTGCAAGTTCTAGCTTTCCTCCAGAACACCAAAGAAGATCGTGCCATAGTTGTGCATCAGATCGGAGTCTTTCCAAGAGATCAGCAAGGGAAGCGTTGGGGGGGTGAGGCAGTGATGACAGTGGAGTCATCAACAAAACCAATGATCAACATGGAGAAGGAGAGAGTGCCATCTGGGCTGGAGAAAGTCATGCAAAAGGATTCAGTGTTATGAGCCTCAAACAGTCTACTTGACAGGAGAGCCCAAATGACTGGACTGTTGGCAGATCCCTGTCCAGTGCCATGAATTGGGAAGCTTGGACAGTGTTGATAAGATGCATTAGTGATACCGTTGGAAACCTTCAATTTGTAGTGTGCTCTTTGGAGTGTGCATGCATGGACTCCAATAATGTCCCTGTGAATACCATAACCTCTCCCCAAAAGTGAGGATTCGATCAAAGCAGGAAGAAGCGTCACTGTCAAAGTTAGCAAAGGGTGTCTGTGTCAATTGAGAGTAGTCGAAACGGAGTTCCTCCATTAGTGTAACAGTCTGTGCCTCTTTGCCTGGTGCTCCACCAAACTGACATGGATGGAGAGTGCCATCGGCTCTGGCCTTATGGATGGCACTGCGCCATTTGGATCCAAGGAGAAGTGAATGCGCACAATAATCTTCATGATAATCTTAATCTTATAATTTCATTTTTATACACACTTAAAGTACATGTAATCTCGTGCACTACTACTACTACTACTGCACGAGATTACGTGTACTCTTAGTATGTTTTAGGATGACTGTTGGTAGTACATCCTGCACATCCGGTGGTGTTTTCAGAGCTCTCAAGGTGACTGCTGTTGGGTTCTTAAGAGCTTCTTCATTATCAAGACCATAAAGCTCAAGGCTGTCCGCTGGTGATTGAGTGGATGGTGGTGGAGGCAATGCAAAGAAGGCCTCTTTCGGATGTCACCACTGTTGGTTTGGTCCTTGTCCTTGTCCTTGCCCTTGGAATCAGACCGTAGAGCCAGCGTTGCTGTTGGACTGTAATGATACATGGCTTGGAGGGCCGCCACTGGAGTTAGAACTTGTAAGCTGATAATTCTGAGTTTGGATTGATTGTGGTTGGAAATTACTCATGTTCCCATGTTCGTCCATTGAGCATAAATACATTCCGGGAACAAATTTTCTGGTGCTGCTTCTATTAGAATTTTGACTCCTTTGATTTCCTCTGTAACTGTTGTTGTTGTTAAGGTAATTGTTTCCTTTCTGATTGGAGGGACAGTCCCCCCAAAGGTGGTCTCCCTTGTGTTTCCTGCAGGGCTGCGCATTGATCCTATTCTGTCTTTCTTCCGGGGTCTCATTCTGTCTGTTGTTCCTATTATTTTTGTTGCGTCTCCTTTGTTTCCCATTCATGTTCCTCCTTCCTTGTCCTGCATTAGTATCATCTGCTGGTCTTTTCCTCGTTTGTTGTTTTCTTTCATTCTTGTCGGCAAGTCCCTTCTGATCTGTCATGAATTTGACTATCTCCTGTTGTGAGTCTTCGAGGATATCCTTACCACAACTGACATATTTGTCTTGCCAAGCATTGGGGAAGGAGTGGAAGAGGATCTCCTTAATTTCTCGTTCAGATAAGGGGCTTTTAATACCATGAAGGATGTTGGCTCTGTTGCAGCAAACTATGACCCTCTCTGCGTGTTCCTGACAAGTGATATCGTGGGGCTTTTTTATGGCGTCTGACTCCAAGTACTCAATCACCTCATCTCTTGCTCTCTTCAATGGTGCATAAAATTCTCTAAACGAAACGAGGGCTTTTTTCCACTGCTCTTTGGTGTCTCTCCCAATTCGCAATCTGTCCGGACCTTTCCACATGTTGTTTCAATTCTGCCTCGGTCGATGGGCCAATACCATTACCCACTTCTTGTCTATCTMCCCATCCGCTATTTCCAAATCATCTATTGCATCTTCAAATCCTTCTTGTACATAGAATAGTTCCTGTACTCCATATTTTCCAGAGAAGACTGGACAGGTTCTTTTCAGCTTCACGGCAGGAATTTGGGTTTTCCTTAGATTGGATCCTCTTCCGGAGGTCTCTGTTCTTGCCGGATGATCCACAAAGAGGCTGACCTCTTTGATATCGCTCTCCTTGAACTTATCCTCAAGGGTAAGGCATGATTGATATGAGTTTCCATTGCTGGTTGATTTCACCATGGTCCATGTGGTATTTTGGTTATTTTTCTTAATGGGTGATTAATTTCGATACACGAAAATCAGTTAGTAATTACTGTGCACGAGATTACGTGTACTCTTAGTATGTTTTTAGTGTGTATGAAAATTGAATTATAAGATTAAGATTCTCGCGCTCCGACGTGAGCTTTCAGAAGCTATGATTAGATCCTGTGTAGCTCTCGGTACTAAATCTACACAGGGTTCTTATTGTTCTGATCTACTACTGACATCTTTGTTCCGTGCGAGGTAATCTATTTCTGATATCGTGGACCTCTTACGATCCTCGGACCTCTTGCGATGGATCCTATGATACATACATATAAACAGTACCTTACGATAGGTATGTAGGAATGGTATGCTCCCTCATTCCTTTCTTCGAAGCTTCGTATCGTACGTATACTTCCGATACAGTATGTATCTGTTGCAACTACTACTACTACTACTACTACTACTACTACTACTACTACTACTACTACTACTACTACTTACTATCAGTTGCAGCTGTACTGCTACTACTACACTTTTTGACCACAAACAGTGTTTATGAGGCCATTAAAAGTGCTCAAGAACCTGCAGGCTTAAATGAGATCCCCTTTGGGGATATGCTTGGTCATAGTGTTAAGAAGAGTGCTGTGTGTCATTGTTACACGATTATGGGACACAATCATTAGTTAAAGATCCAGGTCATTGGGTTGCTTAAGGATGCGTTGGCTTAGAACTAGTCTGCGGAAGTTACAGGTAGTGAGGGGTCAAAAATCGTTAATTCTAGGGGTAATTTTATTACGAATTATCTGGTACCGTATCGATTGTCACCACGATCACAAAAACCGAACACTGCCATGGAAACAACGAAGACAAGTGCCGGGGACGCCGATAGCAGCGGCAGCGGCACGAGTGTCGAGATTGGATTCATTGACTACCGCGACGAGTCCCAGTTGGAGCACGTGGATCGTCTCGTGGCCGTGGATTTGTCGGAGCCCTATAGCATCTTCACGTACCGTTACTTTTTAAACCGTTACCCCGACTTGTGCATCCTCGCAGTGGACAAGAAATCCGGAGAAGTTTGTGGTTGTGTTGTTGGAAAGATAGATGTAGAGACCAACACGAGCGTGGCCACTGGCGACCATTCGAACGTTGTCTTGGACGACGCCGAGAGCAGCGATCTAGACACTAGCGACCGAAAGAATTCTGCACAACAACTCGAGGACTGCGAGGATCCGACGGCAGGATCAGCGGCCAATTATATGGTTCAAACGGGGTACATAGGAATGCTGGCCGTAAGCAAATCATACCGGCGCAAGGGAATTGGCAAAGACTTGGTGCGACAAGTTTTGAAGCGCATGAAAGCAAGAAGATGCACTTCTGTCACGTTAGAAACGGTAAGTACATTGTAGCGAGGGAACGTGACCCGAATGATGGAAACATATTTTCTATTGTTGTTGAAACAAAAAACATCTATCATTGCAGCTCTAACGGTCTCTTTCTGAATGGATAATTCTGTCTTGGCATCTCCCACGCGATTGGAATCGAACACGAAATGGCAGGAAGTTTCGAACGTAACAGCGCAAAAACTATACCAGGATCATTTTGGCTTTATTCGAGAAGAGCTGCTGGTACGATACTATCTAAACTGTGGCGATGCTTATCGGTTGCGACTGTGGTTTTGAGATGCATTGCAGTGCGTGCAACTTGGAAAAATGCAATCGAGGAAGACATTGCAAACTACAGCACGGAGCTTTTGTCTCGACAGATAAAATTAATGATTAGAGGCAAGCCTTTCGTTATATGTACTTGTTTGTGAAATGATGTTGTATATGGACAGAGACTAGATGAAACTTGGCTGAAAAATGGAGATGTTTGTTCAATCCTTTAAATTTGAAGCTTGAGTGCCGTTATTATACTGAATCCTTCGTTCGAGCTCTCTATGGTGTATCGCTTACGAAGACTTCTTATCCTCGAGCGACTGTACACTGTAGCGATTTTCTTCGCGACCGAGCTTCTCGATCTCCTTGTCGATGCCATCCAAATTGGTTTGGAACATTTTTAGATCTTGTAGGTCTCGTACCTTGTTCTTGATGCTGGCAGTCTCAGATTCAAAATCGCTACTTTCACTACCATTGTCCGCTTTCATCTGGCATTCGATATCCTGTACCTTGTGCGAGATTTGTTCGTGGAATTTGTCATGATCTCCGTGAGTTCGACGCATTCGACCGACGCATTTTCCACCAATATTCAAGATAATGACACGCTTTCCAGCAAGACCGTAGCGGTGCGTGAGGCCTTGAATAGCGGCAACTGCAGAGTGATCAATAACGAGGGCGTCCTTCAAGTCAAGAATGACCGTGTCGGGATCTTCGCCAATGTGAAACATGTTGACAAACTTGCGCGTGGAAGAAAAAAATATTGCCCCGCGAATGTGGACATACTTGACACCGTTGACTCGTTTTCCATTAATGATCATATCCTTTAGTTCCACGTCTGCGTCAACGTGGGCGCCACTGTCCCAGGCGTGAACCAATGCCGACAAGATTATTCCTGCCGCGATGGCAATCGCAAGATTGGTAAAGACCGCAACAATCGTTACCAGCAGAATAGCAACGCTGTCAGATAAGCGTCCATACCTCAGGATGACAAATGTTTTCCACTGGAAGGTCGAGATGACCACAATGAATAAGACTCCCGTCAACGTAGCGATGGGCAAAAGGTTGATGAAAGGACTCAAGACAAGCGTGAAGAGCAACATGAACACCCCAGACATGGTGGAGCTTACACGATGGCGTGCCCCATTCATAATATTGATGGTTGATTGACCAATCATGGCATCTCCGCCCATTGCTGAATAAGATGTGACAACAGCATGTTAGATTTGGTGTTGTGTCTCAACATTCGAGCAAATCCATCTGCCAGTGAATCTCTTTGCACGCACGCGAAGCTCCCAACTTACCTCGGAACAATCCACAGACCAGGTTTGCGAGCCCCTGCGCAAAACATTCTTGATTCGAGTCGCTTATTTTTGGGACGGTGTCCGTAATTTCGTTGCAGGCTTGAAGAGTCAAAACAGATTCCACCGCACCAATGGCGGCCAGCTGAATGGCAAAAAGTAGCATGGTTTGAATAGTTTGACCGTCGGTAGGAATAGTGGGCCAATCGAACTTGGGTGGCGCTCCAGCAATAGGTGCTGTTTCTGCCACCTGGATAAAAGGAAAGAACAACGAGTTAGCGACGTCTTTCTTTTGGCGAGAAAGGATTGCAGATTTCCTCGATCCATATAATATCCCCAAAGCTTACCGTTCGGGTCCCCTGTCCAATAACCTTGCGAAATAAAGTCCATTCGATCAATGTTCCAACTAGCAATCCAACAAGCGAGGCAGGAATCAATTTTCCAATCTTTGGAATCTTCGGAAAGAAGTGCATGATCGCCATGCACATGGCAACATGAACCAAGACCAATGACAATTCGACGGGCTGTCCACCAAAAGTCAGCCACTGTCGTTCATCCACCTCGCATTCGATAAACAGAGGCTCGCTAGTACAATACTGGAATGCCGGTAGCTGTGCCATAAAAATAATGATTGCGAGACCTAATATATTGATCGATTGGTAGTCCATTCCGAGATGCGTTGGGTTGAGAGAAACACGATTGAATTTGAGTGGAACAAGACACTATGAAACGGCAGAAAAACACTTCGATTACAAAAGCCACACACAACGACGGCACTCGGGATCACTGCCCCCCGAGAGGGTCGCACGAGGGGGTGCGACCCCGGACAGAGTCGGTCATAGCACTCACCGTTCATGAATCCGATCATGCCCGTTTCCGGGATGAGGCGGACGAGCTTGGCCAGCCGAAAGACTGCAAATCCGATCTGAAACAGCCCGCAAACGAACATGGTCATGTACAGGACGTTCAGGCGTTCCTCGACGGTCAGGTAGGACAGCACGCCGTCCGAGGCGGTGAGCTTGGTTACCACTACCGCGAGGGCACCCGCCGCACCCGAGATCATGCCCGGCTTGCCGCCAAGAATCCCGGTGATGAAGGCCATCCACCAGGTCGCCTGCAATCCGCTAAGGGGGGGAACGCCGGCGACGAAGGAAAAGGCAATCGATTCGGGAACCTGCATGATGGCAACGGTAAAGCCCGAAACGATTTCCTTGTACAGAATGCGGGGGTTCTCGCGATAGTAACGGTAAGTATCGGCAAGAAAGTCCTTGGTAAAACCCGGCGCGGAAAGGACTCCCTTTTGGACGATTCTTCCCTCGTTCGCGAGGAGTCCGCATCCCCACCTGGCCAGCTGTGGAACAAAGGCGAAGAAGGGATCGCGCTCGTAGTCCTTGTAGTCGTTCTTCGGTTTTGTGTTTCCGTCCTCGTCCTCGTCCGAAGAATTGGACGGCGTGATGGTCCCCTTTTGGTTGCTGGCATTGCTGTACTCGACCTCAACGGCGGAGATCTCGAGGATGTTTTCCTGGTGGCTTTCTTCCGTCGGCTGCATAGTAAATCAACAATCAATCGTGAATACGTCCTAGCGGTGGTTTGTTGTACGGCACGCGTACTAGTATGTTAATAGTTGTACTTTGTTTGCTATCGGACAGGAAGCTGCCGAATTGATCTCGTCGCTACGCTCAGAAAGAACAAGATACCTTACACCTTACAACACGATACTCTCGGACGCTGAAAAGAACTTCCGAGAATCGAAATAGAATAAAATGAATGAACTTGTCGTTGTACGATACAATGTACTATACGAAGTACAGAAATTGATGGGATTGTTCCGTAGAAGACACCCCGTTGCTGTTGTTGTGTCTTTCGGCTGGTAGCGTGTAGTAAAATCTGGTGTCTCTGTTCTTCGACATCTGCTACAACCCAACTGAAGTGCTCGTACTACCGTACGGTACTTATTCCATTTTCCAACAATATATATTATTTTGGCGAAACCACGCACTCGACGTACACGCACGTCGTTATGGTCGATTTTCTCTCCGAATTTCTGCAATGACCCATGCGGGTGCCATTTGTGTGGTCATGAACAGAGAAGAATCGAACGCAAATTCTGTTCCACATAAAATTCGCACCGGCGCTGCCGAGCAGGGGGGGTCAAGGAGGAAAACAAAGTGGTCCGGTGCCATGTACCGGTACGTACCTCCCCTCAGAGTTCGTACGTTACGGTAGACAGTGTAGCATAGCATGTACGGTGTTCGGATGTTCTGGACCGTACCGTACGATACCGTACGTTTCCTGCATGCTATGGCCTCGTCTACGCTCAGTACGTACGTACTACCAGATTGTATCGAATGACGGAACGGACGGGACTCGAAAATCACGTGCATTTTTTGATTTGTTTTGAAGATGGCACAAAACTCTGTGCGTGCCGACTTAACTATGGGTTTGGGTAGCGTACCGCCCAGTACGTGGATGACACATAATATGTATTGGTTGGTAACGTACCGGTACGAGTACTCGAACCTGTACCAAAAGCAGTACAGTAAGAGTTGTGTTACCGAGAACTGTCCGATTTTGGTTCGCTATTCGCGATCATACAGAACGCAGAAATACATAAGTAAGTACCGTACGTACTGTAGCTACTTCGATACGTGCTCAGTGCTCAAGTGCTTAAAGGACTACTGTATCGATTCGATCTTTGCTGAAAAAAAATCGACCAAAATTAGATAGGTGACCCCCCCTCTTTTTAATAGAGATGAGTACGTATCGAACGAGAACCTCGTACCGTACGTTACATACACCGAAGAAGTACAGTACCGTACCGTACGGCACAGAATGTTTGATTTTGTATTGTGCTACCGTACTGTACTGTGCTATTACCTGATACCTAACATTCATTGGTACGTACAGCATAAGTAAATACTACTACGAAATAGAAATTGAAAAAAATGTTACTAGTATTCGTGTTTTCAAAACCCCAAAACAAGCACGATCGATTTTGGATCTCCGAATCCGGCCCTGGACCGAGTTTACTAGAGTACACACGTACCGTATCGTACGGAAGAACCAGGCCGGCCCCCCGGGCCCCCGAGCAAGACAACGGAAGCCTCGGTCCCCATAGTTGGCATCGACAACCACACCGGCCTCCGAAACGAACAACACACCAGAGAGGAACACACAGACAGAAAGACACAGACACACCACCCCGATGCACCGCTTTGCCTTCCCCCGCGGAAGCCCCGCAGCCGCGGGTCTCCTGGCCGCGGCGATCGTCGCCGCCCTGGCCGCGGTTTCGAGCGCCGACGATTATTCCGTCGCGGAGGGACACGGGTCGCTCCTCGCCGCCGTGGGCTGCTTCTGGTGCGGGGAGCAGGCCTTCGAGCAGTACGCCCCGGGCGTTGTGGAGGTGGTGAGCGGGTACGCCGGCGGGACGAACGACCACCCGAGTACGTTCTGTTCCCCTGCCTCGTTTTCGCGGTGGTGGTGGCGGTGGTGGCAGTCGTTTCATTTGCGTCCCGAGCTGAGCTGGTTTCGTCGGCGGAAAACTTCACCCATCACCGTGTGTCGCTGTTTGATTGTTTGTGTGTGCGCGTGTGCGCGTGTTTATGTCTTTGCTTCTAGTTTGTGTCTATCTCATCTCCGCTACGGCCAAACGTCCGCTGTTTCTTTCGTTTTGTTTTCTTTCGTGTCGCGCAGCCTACCGGGACCACCCGGGGCACTACGAGGTTGTTCTCGTGGAATACGACCCGGAAAAAACAAGCTACGAGGTCCTCGCGAACTATGCGTACCGCAACATGGACCCGCTGGACGGGGGTGGACAGTTCTGTGACAGGGGCTCGAGCTACTACCCGGCACTCTTCTACGCGACCGAAGAGGAGCGCATAACGGCCGAACGCGTGCTGACCGAGATCCTCGAGTCGAGCCCCGACTGGGGCGCGGAAGACATCGAGGCGCAGATCCTCGAACGCCCAAAGTTCTGGACGGGTGAGTCTGTCCGGCCCGGTGGTTGCTTTGTGCTGCGTTCTGAGGTTGTTTGGCGTTGTGTGCTGTGCTGTGCTGTGTTACTGTATTCTATTGTTATGTTTGTTATGTTGTTATGTTGCAATGCGATGCATTGTGGGCGTTGCAGGTGCGCCGTCTAGACGGCAAAAAAGTGTGGAACCCGTCGCTCGGTCTGGTGTATTCTCACCATAGCGTGATCTCTTCTTTCGGTCGGTCTCGAACAGCCGAAGAATACCACCAAGACTACTATCTCAAGAATCCCGCCAACTACGGGTTTTACAAAAAGGCTTGCAAGCGGTCCGAACGACTGAAGGAGGTGTGGGGGGAGGACACCTACGAGTGCTATCACGACGAGGAGCTTTCGTGCTTTTTGGAGGAAACAGACGCCGATCTCGCTTCGAACCAAACGGACGCCGGCGGCGGCGGCGAGAACTCGGTTCCGACGGTGGTCAACGAGCGGGGGGAGGTCGTCGCCGCCGAGACCAACGCCAAGAACGCACCACAGGAAACCGCCGGTCTGATGCCCCGCTGGGCCATCGTGGTGGTGTCGGTCGCTGGGGCCTCCCTGGTGGTCCTCGGGCTGGCGTTGGGCCTCTTCGCGGCAAAGCGCGGACACCCCGGCAAGACAAACGGCGCCCACGCTCAGACCACCGCGGAGCACCTAGGATAACCATAGCATGCATGCAAGCTTGCCACGAGCGGCCTGCCGTGCCGGAGTGCAGTGAAGTGTAGTGTAGTTTTGTAGCGCAGCAAAGCGAAGCGCTGCGCAGATCAGCACCGCCCCCCTAGGGTGCCCTGCCGGAGGGCCGTCCGGGAGAGGACGGCCCGCCACCCCGCCAGGGCCCTCCGGCACCGGAGCATCCCCAGTTCCAGCAGCGTGGCCTGCAGGAGGAAGGCCGTCCCGAGAAAGACGGCGACCGAGACGGCCAGGAGAAAGCGCAGGACCCCCTCTGCGGAAGGGACCCCCACCCAGGGGGAGGCCCCGGGGCACACACCGTGCATTGCACTTTCGGGGTCCATGGCGGACGGCTTGCTCTGGTGGAACAGGCCGGTGGATTCGCTTGCGGCGTTGGTTTCGTTTCGTTTGCTCGATGCCTCGCTCGATTCGTTCGATTTGGTGGCTCGTCCGGGTCGGTTTATGGCGGCGACCCTGTTTCCGGTTTCGCCGCAGCAAGGGTGCGCCTTCTGCCGGTTCCCGCCACCGCCGGTTCTACCGGGCGTCGGGTCGAGTCGATTCCTTTCTGCTCGGTCCTCCGTCCCGTCCCCGTGGTTCGTTCGAAGAAAGGAAAGGCAAACGCGTGCACCTCTGGGCCTCGCGTGACGGTGCGCCGCCGATGCATTCGAGCCAATCCGTCTCGTAGGAGTAGGAGCACTCGTAGTACTACCGCAGGAAAGTACCGCATTCTTGTACCGTACCGTACAGCGAAGCGAAGCCACTGCATCCGATGCCCCCTTTCGCTAGGGTTTTGCGCCGTACCGTAACAGGTACGTACCTACCAAACAACCCCATACTTGCAGAGAAGTTGATTGGTGCTGTTGCGGTAGGAATCGTACGCACGTTCCATGCGCGGTAGTGCCAAAAACCAATCATGCGGTGTCGAATCCCGACGAACTACGTACCGTACGAGAACTAGTACGAGTATGTATGTAACGCACGGTACGTACCGTCCACCAACGACGTCTGCGGGCGGTCTGCGGTCATACATATTGTACCGGACGGTACGTACGGTACGTACGAGTACCTGGTACTTCTGCTTCCCGCCATCACCAAAAAGTCGCTGGTGGGACCCCCCCCCATCTCTAAGCTCTAACCCTAAGATGAATAGAAGATCGTCCAACAGAGGACCGAACAAAAAAGATCCTCGACTCCTCCTCGACCGGGTTTGGTTTCCGAGTAAGTGGGTCTAGCAACCGGTGCGTAGGTACCGGGTACGGTCAGGGGTCCCCCCAAAAAATTCAGCACGAGGAAGACTCCCTACCAGTACCGTACCGTACTTTACGGTAACGTAGGTTCTACTTGAACTCGTCGCATCGGTTTCGGGCTCTTGTTCCACACAAAAACCACACACACGAGGCTGTTGCTGTACCGTAGCTGTGTTGGCCCCTGTTGCGTTCCGAACAAGCCTCCAGGGACAGAGACACACCCTGATCCCGACACCCCCAACCAACACACGTCCACACACCCTTGAAATGAGCGTCCGGCGGTTCGTCGAGGCGCAGCGCGAGCTGCTGGACCTGGAACTCCGGGCGGAGAACGACGGGAGCGAGAACGACGGCCGGCGGTCCGGCGTCCTGAGCCGCCTCGAGGCCTCGGAGGTCTCGGTCGGCCTCTATGGCCGAACGGTCGTCCGTCTGGTCACTCTGAGCGAGAGCAGCAGCAGCAACAACAACAACAACAACAGCAGCGATAGCGAGACCGGGAGCGAGGGGATCCGCCTCCTCCCGGCCCACCGGTTTGCCGTCGGGAGCGAGGTGGAGATCCGTTCCTCGGGGGGAAGCCACACCGGGGGTAGAACCCTCGGGGGTGTCGTGTGCGCCGTTTCGGAAACCTCGGTCTCGGTCGCCCTTTCCGACCGGCGGCCTCCGGACGGGAAGAAGCCCAAGAAGCAGTCCGGGAGCGGCAAGAACAACCGCAAGAACGATGACAGCAGCAACGACGGCAACGGCGACGAAACGAGCCTCCTGGAGAGCATTCCCCTCGCCCTGGTGCCCCGGGGGTCCGCCGAGGTCCACAAAAAGCTGGTGGCCGCCCTGGACCGCCTGGAACGCCACGGCGAGGGCCACCTTATCGCGGGTCCCGTCGTCCGGGCCGTCTTCTCCCCTCCAAGCGGGGAGGGCCCAAGCCCAAATCGAAAGTCGAACCCAAGCCCCAAACCAGCCCCCCGGTGCTTTCACCCAGGGCTGGACGCGAGCCAGAGAGAGGCCATCGCCTTTGCCCTGGACCCGGACCGGAGGGTGGCGCTGGTGCACGGGCCACCCGGGACCGGGAAGACTACCACCGTGGCCGAGCTCGTCCGGCAGGCCGTCCACCACCACGGCATGAGGGTCCTGGTCACGGCACCGAGCAACGTCGCCGTGGACAACATCCTGGAAAAGCTGACCGAGGAAGTGGGAGAGAAAGGACAGAAACAGGAGCAGGAGCCGAGTTCCCCCCCGCTGCGGGTGGTCCGGCTGGGCCACCCCGCCCGCATCAAGCCGTCCATTCTGAAGCACAGCCTCGAGGCACTCGTGCAGTCCTCGGACGGAACCGAGATCGTCCGGGACGTCCGGAGGGAGCTCGAGGCCTGCCTGAGGACCGTTTCGAGAGACCGCAGCGGGGCGGGGGGTCGGAGCGGAAGCGGCCGGCCGAGGAAGAAGGACGCGCTCGACAAACGGGCCGCCTACAGGGACATCGGGACCCTGCGAAGGGAGGTCCGGGCCCGGGAAGAAAAGGTCGTCCGGGAACTCATCCGGTCCGCCCACGTGGTGCTGGCCACCACCGTCGGGGCCGACAACCGCGCCCTCAACTCGATCACGAACCCGACCGAGACAGACGGCCACACAGCCGGCGACGACCCGGGCTTCGACCTGGTCGTCATCGACGAGGCGGCTCAGGCGCTGGAGGCCTCCTGCTGGATCCCAATTCTACGGGGCCGGAAGGTCGTCCTGGCCGGGGACCACTGCCAGCTCCCCCCCACGATCAAGTCGAAGGACCCGCGCGTGGCAGCGGGCCTCGGGGTCACGCTCTTTGAGCGCCTCATGGACCTCTACCGCACGCGGGAGCGAGAGATCTCCCGGATGCTGAAAATCCAGTACCGGATGCACCACCAGATCGCCGACTGGGCCAGCTCGGCAATGTACCGGGGAGAGCTCGAAACCCACGAGAGCGCGAGGAGCCGGACCCTTGGCCAGCTCGTCTCGGTTCGGAAACGGCTCGGGAGCGAAGCCTCCGCCGGGACCGAGAACCTCGGCGAAACGACGCTGCTGCTGATCGACACCGCCGGGTGCGGCATGCACGAGGGGGAGACAGAGGCCGGCTCCCGCTTCAACGAAGGCGAGGCCTCGATCGTGGAGAAGCACGTCCGGAAGCTCCTGGCGCTGGGCGTCGAGCAGCACCAGGTGGCGGTCGTCACCCCCTACAACGGCCAGGTGGAACTCATCCGCGGCCTCCTCCACCGCGAATTCCCGGCGCTGGAGATCCGCAGCGTCGACGGTTTCCAGGGCGGGGAGAAGGAGGCGGTGGTCCTGAGCCTGGTGCGGAGCAGCGACCGTGGCGGGAGGCCGGGGGGGATCGGCTTTCTGAGGGACGACCGCCGCCAGAACGTGGCGGTCACCCGGGCCCGGCGGCACCTGGCCCTTGTCTGCGACTCGGACACCGTCTCCGGGAGCCCTTTTGTCGAAAGCCTCATCGAATGGGTTGGGAACCACGGGGAGCACCGGTCGGCCATCGAGTACCTCTCGGAAGACAAAAGCAGCTGCGGCAACGACGCGGGCTACCAGGACGACCTGGAGGCCGTCGAGCGGGAGCTGGCGAGCCTGCTCGCGGAGCCGCCGCCGGAGAAGACCGCTGCGGGCAGCGGCCCGCCGCAGCGCAAGGTCCCTCCATCGGCCCGTCCGCCTTGCGGGAACCGGCGAGAAAGGAATCCAGAGCCCGGGCTTCGGCCGGAGCTCGTGGCCCGGATCGAGGAGTTTGCCGCTGGGGGCCGACCGGGGGACGAGATGGTTCTGGGCCGAGAGCTCTCCCGTGGGGACCGCCGGTTGGTCCACGAGCTAGCGGAGCAAAAGGTCCTGGAACACCGGAGCGAGGGGAGGGAGGGCGTTGACCGGAGGCTCGTCCTCTCGGTCCCGGCAAAGCCGGCCGGAGCCGAGCCGGCGGAAGACCGGGAGCAAGAAACCGACGACAAGGACGACGGCGATGCTTCTGCCTCGGATGCCGAACCCGATCGGGCCGCCCCGGGGTTTTCGGTCCTCTCGGCGGACGACAGCGACTCGGACCAGGCCGAAACAGGAACTAGCCTTCCCGAACCAGAGGCGGCCACGGGAAACGCGCTGCTGGCGCAGCTCGCGAAGGAGCGCGCGGATCGGCAGCGACAGCGGGAACAGCAGGCGGCCCGGCCATCCGGGCCCGGGGATTCCAAGGGGTCTTCCAGGCAGGCCAAGCGAAAGAAGAAGAAGCCCAAGGGCCAGAGGCTGGGCGGTGGAAGGAACCCCCCGCCGGGAAGGGGCCCTTCCAAGAAAGAGAAGGACGAAACCCTCGACGACGACCTCGACGACATGGCCTTTCTGGACGCGCAGGTCGCCAGGGCACAGAACGCCCACGGCCGGAGGGTGGAGGGCAGCGGAACAGCCTACCGCACCATCGTCCACGGCATCCTCAACGCCCGGCCGGAACCGAGGCACCAAGCGCCCAGGAACGCGAGGGCGAGCGCCGCCCTGAGGGCCAAACTGGGCGAGGCCGGAAAGGCGAGGCAAAAGAAGCCCAAGAAAAAATAGGGCCAGCGAAGTGTTTTTCCCGCGCTGCTCGCGGCTCTGCCAGCGGAAGCCAGGCGAAGAACCGGTACGAGAAAACAGCCGGCTGGCCAGCTGCTGCCGATGGTGGTGGAATGATGACGGAATCCCTTTCCGACTCCCCCGAGACTCCCAGTGTTGTTTCCAGAACCACCAGAATGGTTAGGAACTCGTCCAGTAGCAGCGCTACGACGGTAGCAGGAGAGAACTGCGATGACTCGCTTGTTGAGATGGTTGAAAATCAGTAAGTGAATCGAGTTAAATAAAGTGTTCTCTATCTTATTCTCTATTACTTTGAAATATGAGCTCTCCTCCCAGCTCCAATAATCACGGCCTCTGTCCGGAATTGACTCCTCTTATACTCATTGTTTTGCTCTTTCCTTTATTGCCTCACTATGGACCTGTAAAGGTATCTGGATCCCTCCTGGATCTCTTCAACTTCAAGGGTTCCTATCTCAGGTTCCTTGAGACTTCTTTTGCCAGCTCGATCTATACCATCTGTATTCTGTCACCATCACCAGCTTCATCAGCAGCTGTCTTAGCTTGTAATCCTCCAATTAGCTATCTCTTTTCTGATTCTTCCAATCCCTCATTCTAGCCTATCCTCAGTAATACATGTTGGCTCACCTGGCTCGGTCATTACAGACCATTTGTTCCAACATCGCTGGTTGTAGTAGTACGAATGTGCAGTACTCATGTTTTGAAACACGCCTTGACAAAGTACTGCCATGACCCAGTGGTATCAATAGCAAGGCGGTTTCAACCCAGGTATATCACTAGAAAAAGCTTTGAATAGCGATGGGACTAGTTCATGGTACTACTCATTCGAACAACAAGTAGAAGTAGTAGCCATAATTTTTAGCAAAAGCGGTTTTGATTGTTTGCTGCGAGGTTGTAATGTACGGTAGGTCATTCACGAAGCGTAGTAGCACAGCAAGTTGGTAGCAAAGAGGAATAAGCGCCCTCCGCGCCTTGCTCTTTACATAAAGTACCAGTACGTACGAAGTACGGGTAGCAGTAGCAGTTGCAGTAGCATCAACTTCGTACTACGTACTCGTAGTTGCTCCGTCCCAAAATGTGTTTGATAGAAGATCACGGCGCTACCGGTACTGCAAGCGTTTAGCCGATAGTAATGCTTAGTACTTTTCAGTACTATTAGTGCCGTAGAAGACATTACCAACTGAGGCTTTCGGTTTTTTTCGTGTTCTACCCATGAACGAGGACAAGCTTGTTACAATGGATTTCTAAAAATAGCGGGCACAAAAATCGATCCGTTGCAACCTGCCGTTGTGACTAAATACAATTTGATTCATGCGCGGTATCCTTTCTTTTTTGGTCGCAATTTAGCTAAATACCTTTAAAGTCTGATGAAAGTCTGATAGTCCATCGGTTAGTGCACATGATCACGATTCAAAAGAACGACCGGAGTCAAAAATCACCTTCGGCACACCTCGATTCATCTCACAATCCACCAAGATAAACATACCATCGTTTTAAAATAATACTACTACAAGAAAGAAGAGCACCGAAAATGGCGACCGCAATTTCCATGATCGCTGAACAGGTTTTGAACACCTGCTGCGGGGACAAGTTACCTACAGATGTGAAACCGACCAAATTCAACAATACCGATCCTCATTTCAAGAAAAAGTTCTTAAGAAAGGATATGAAATTCGAATTATGCGAATGGAAGAAGCTTCCCCCGAACGCTAAAACAGCGTGCAAAGAACTCGGCTATGACGAAGAAAAATGGGACAACGGCGAGGAAGTCGAGGTTTCCTGGACACACTGGTGGGATCTGACCGACAAGCAGAAAAAGGCCGTTGAAATCCTCGGCTGGGACGAAAAAGCTTGGGAAGAGCAGTATCAGTGGACGGAGTGGAACGATCTCCCCCACCTTCAAAAGAAGGCCGCTAAGGTTGCAGGATACACCGAAGAAAGCTGGCAAGAGTGGACTCCAGAAGGATTAGACAAGTGGTGGGATGACCTAGATGAAGATAAGAGGGAGGCCATGTGCGTTATGGGATGGACAAAGGCGAAGTGGGACGAGTAATCAGCTGCTCAATCCATTACTATGAAACGTGTACAAATAATATTATGAAAACTGGTTGAAAAAAGATTCATTCAGCTTTGTTCTGCTCGTTTACAAATTGATTTCAAGTCTCAAGCATTGTCCACGATCCGAGTGAGTCGTGATGCAGATTTAAAATGTCATCGTCTTGTACTTTTTAGTCGTACTTTTACTTTCATTGATTATTCGATCAAAGCAGTGCTTGAAATATCATGTTCAGGAAGCAGTTACTGTAAATGACTGCTTGCAAATAAAAGATTGATTTCAGTTGGCTCATGATGGAATCCTTTCGAGGCCTTTCTCGTTCATCGAAAGACGATCAGATTCCTTGGGCATGGGTCCGAAGGGTGAAGGATATAATTGATGACCCACCTTGTCCACTTCCTGAAAACCAACACCCTGTTGACATAACTAACTGGCTTTACCTTTCAGATGAAAAGAATGCAAGAAAATATGATCGTGTCAATCAACCCGGGATCAGGCACGTTTTGTCCGTAAACAGCATGCCGCCACACAAGGCAAAAGAGATGACGAGCAACTTTGCGGCTGTTGGCATATCCCGCAAGTAGATTGACGGCGAGGACGAAGAAGCATACGATATGATTGCTCAGCACTGGGAAGAATGTTTCGAGTATCTGACAAGTGCTAAAAGCGAGAACGGCAAGGTTCTTGTACATTGCATGGCAGGAATGAATCGATCCGGCCTCATTGTTTGCGCTGCGCAAATTGTATGAGAGAGAAAAGAACTGTTGGATGTTGTGGAGGAATGCGTACAAAAGAGAGGGATGGTGCTGTGGAATCGTTCGTTTCGAAAGCAGTTGTGTGTCCTTGCGGCAAAACATTAATTGCTCGGGAAGAAGCCAGAGGGATATTCCGATGAACCCATGGTAGATCCTCGCAAGTACATGCATTACTCCCCTCAGTGTACAAGAGATATCTGATGAAAGTGGCGATGAGTCTTCGTGTTGTAGCTGGGTTAGTTCTATAGAACTAATTGAATATACTAGCTACACAGTACCAATCCGTTCACAATATTGGCAGCAGATCCGTAGCACTTGGATTATTTCTTTCCAATATGCCTTGAAACGAGAGCTTGCGGAATTCTTTTAAACTTAACTCTTAAATTCAGACAGTAGACACTCATGTTGAAACTTCATCAGGCTCGGCACACGCCTTCCCAACAAGATGGTCCAGCAGCGGGCACGATTCGAATCACATTCGCAGCCCCAGGAGTTCCAAAAGGAAGCCCAGCTGTCACAACCAATAGATCATCTGGATCGGAAACCAAACCCTTTTTCAAAGCAGCTCGACAAGCACTTTTGAGAACAATGTCAAGATCATCAGATGCTTCCTCTACAATTGGGTTTTCGTAGTCAAACATTCCTTCTTCGCTAACAGTATATCCATAACTTCCAGCCTTCGGAAGATCCGGATATACTCCCCAACTCAAGGCAAGTTGACGGGAAACTTCCTTAAATGGTGACATGGCCATGATTGGAACCGATGGCCGGTTTTTGGAAGCACGCCTTGCGGTGGATCCAGTTAGAGAAAAACAAACTATGGACTTGGCTGAAATCGTCTTCGAGACTTGTTTAGCAGCCACAATAACAGCATCTGTGGGAGTATTGTCGTGCCCGAAAACATTCGCATCCAAATACCTTCGGTAGTGAGGATCTCCCTCGACCCGGTTGATAATTCGCTGTTGCATAGCTACCGATTCTTCTGGATACTGAACCGTACGTGAAGGGAAAAAGAATTATTGAGGGAAAAGTTCACGCGTGGGAGACACTACTCTAGTGCCCTTAGCATATCAGCGAAATTTCTGAAGAAATAAACATACCATACCAGCGGCAGATTCTGCACTCAGCATTATTGCATCGGCACCATCATAAATTGCAGTTGCTACATCGGATGCTTCGGCTCGAGTAGGAGTCGGACTCTCGATCATCGATTCTAACATCTGTGTTGCGACAACAACTGGTTTACCTTGTTCCCGGCACTCGTCGATGATTGTCTTTTGTAGAATCGGAACATCMTCGGGCGGACATTCGACGCCTAAATCCTGTTATGGATTTTCCCAAGAAATGTGCGACAAACAAACAGGTTGAGAGGCAAACATAAATATTAGTAATGTATCTTCCGCAACAATCACACTCAGAACAGAAGGCACTCACTCCTCTTGCAACCATAATTCCGTCACATAGTTCCACCAGCCTAGCAAGGTTGTTACTCTCGAAACAAGACGGCTTTTCGATCTTAGCCATAATTGATGGCTTCAGGTCGCCAGAGGGTATCTTTTTGTCGACAATGTCACGAATCTCCAAGATGTCTTCCGGTTTTTGAACAAATGATAGAGCGACCCAGTCGACACCTATTTCCAGCATGTAGTCCAGATCGCTTCTATCTTTCGGGGTCAAGGGACTAATATCGAGAATAGAATCTGGAGTATTGACACCCTTTCGGTTAGAGATTTTTCCAGGAACATCAACGTTGCAAACCAAATAGTCGGCACCCTTTTCAATTACGGTCAGCTTGACCTTTCCATCGTCAACCATTAGAGTGTGCCCAACTTCGCTGGCACCAATAATTTCTGGATGCGGTAAATTCACACGAGTATTGTCGCCGAGGGCTGTGTCGAGATCCAACCGGAATGTGTTACCGGCTACCAGATATTCACCTTCGGCATTCGAGAATTCTCCGACCTTTTTTATTTACAGAATTTGAAATCATACAACAAAACAACGCAACGAGGCAAGTAAGAAAGATGAATTACTTTACTTTTGGGTTGAGATAGTCAATGATACTTGCTGTAAATTACACGTACTCGTAATTTTGGTCCTTGCAAATCCCCAAGAATACCAATTGGATGCGAATATTTCTCTTCGATTTCACGGATTGTCATCAATAGCTCTTTCTTCTGTTCCTGAGATCCATGAGAAAAGTTCAAACGGAAACAATCAGCTCCTGCGAGGAATAACTAAGAAATTGCAAAAGATTCAGATGATGAGTTTCACAGAACAAGACCGTAGAAATGGGGGCCAATATAAAGTTTACGATCATCACGTCCGTCTTTGACGACAACTATTTTCATTCTTCAATGCATTGTGCTGTCTGGCACGTACCGTTTCGATCATTTCTTTGTCGCCGCTGCTAGGACCCAACGTTGCCAATTGCTTCGTTGATTTCCTCCATCGTTGAGCAACCTTCGGCACGGCAGCCACAGTGGTCCCTGCTGGGAGCGATCCATCCCCAGTGATGGGATCAGATGTCGAAACGAAGAGAGCACTCTGAACTTTCTCATTGACCCTCGAAAGCGCCGATGTCGATGTTGATCGAACACGTGCTCTCGGAGCAAATGATTCGGTATGGGAGATTAAGCTCAATGTGGCTACAAGGGCTGAAGATAAAATCATCATGATACTGTTTTGCTGTTAAACAAATAAGTTTTTGAGGCTCAGGCGTACCGCAGTAGAAATAGAGATCGAATCTACAGTTTTTCTCGGGTAACGAGGGTTTGTTCGTGAATGTCCACTGTTTCTCGACGACACGAAGATTTACGAAGGATATCAGAAAGGATTCTATTATTTTTTTGTTGATTGTTGATTGGCGATCAGCGCTTGACAGCTGAATTGATGGGATACCGGTACTCGTACCTGGAAGCGGTACATCACGACAGGGAAGGGAAGAAAAGATAAATGTTGTTCAATAGGGGAGGGGAGAACAACGAAATATTTCGGGTCGAACAGAAATCGTGATCAAATTGAGTCGTGAGTCCCATTTGAAAAAATCAGGAACCATATCGATTTCGATGTTTTTGGAAAAATCTCAATTCTCCGGTCCCCTTTTTATTTTGTGATTAGTTTTGATCACAAAAAAATGTGATCAGAAATGATCACAATTTTTTTCTGACAGTTTCCAATGGATTAGAATTAATTGCAATGTACTTTATTCTCACATTAATATCGTATAGCGTTGGCGGAGTGATTCCGGCCGACCCAGTCGTACATTAGCAATTCAATATATACATAAACGTATATCCGTCAATATTCGTCGTACGCCGCACTCCCCCACCGCATTCGMAAGCTCTTTSAATTCTCTTTTYAACCATGTGCTTCTTGTACTTAAGCGCCCGTTGGGGAAAAAGTTATGGCTGTTCRAGTGAGTTGTACCCTAGTTAACTTTCTACGTGTATTTTGTACTGTGCGGGGATTTTGGGCTATCTTTTCACCGTGTAATGACTACTTTGACTCAATCCCCCAACGGACAAGCTCACTAAATTTGGCCACTAATCRTGTGAACTCAAATTTGGCAAAACCCCTCCTTGATACATTTGTTCTGTTTCCGGTTTATCAGAAGGAACAGTGTCGGAAGCATTTCCCCGTGCTTTTAACCTGGTGTATCGATCCCGTTTCTTTCTCTTAAAATCGATCGAGAACAAAACACTCTGTGACTGAGACTACCCCTGCCAAGTATGGAGGATACTGCAAAAAGGAAGCAAAAACTGCATAATAAGCAAAACAAGCAAGATGAGCAAGATGAGCAACTCAAAACGCCGGATTTCCTAGTGGAAGACCTCCATAAGGATGTATATCGACGCTACCCTGCAAGCTCCCCKGACTCAGTCCCTCCACGACGCACGGGAGCAGTCTTATTTGGTTGCCATCCAAAGCAAAGAGTTAAATTGAACAGGAGGAGAGCAAGAACAAAGAAGGCCCGACACCAAGCCAGGTTGCTTGTTTACAAAGGACCAAAGGCCTGTGCTCACAAGCACTGGTTGCCACGTCGGAAGCTTGCAATCGTAAAGGGGAACATGGAGATGAAATGGCATCCAGCATC